TATATATATATATATATATATATATATATATATTTATAATAACTCTGATAATTCAACCTGAGTATGGTAATGGGTTATTTAATTTGTCATTATATTCTTTATAGTTAAAAACTTGCGAGAAGACAACAAATTAAACTTCAACCGATCATATTGACATGACTTCACTTATTTACTTTCAACCAGAAATATCGACAGAGGAAGTGTAAATGCATCAAATTATATCCTTAATGGCATGGTATACTAATAATAATCGGCTACTATTAAAATAAATAAGAAAGATCCAATCAAAACAATGGATCCATTAGAGACAAGTTGCAGCAACGATTTTAATTGTCCTTAAGTTGATACTAAAGATTTTCTGACAAAGTGGAGTACGAACACATTTTTAAACCTACTTTTTGTAAAATTTGATTGATTTTTAAAGAAATTTTAAAAAAAGTTTTTTTTTTCTAAAACAACTCCTACAAAATATGAAAGAATTTAATCACCATCAGATATTTTGAAGATTTCTTGATATTATTAATTACATATACATACATATATATACAATTATGAAATTTGGAACATTATTACTTTGATCATTCATAGAGAATATATATATATATATATATATATATATATATAATTGTATATATAATTATATTTATTTACTCTCAACTACTAGTTGTAAATCCAAATTAATTATATTTATAGAGTTACTAATTAACCATATATATGCTAGGTAGACACCAGCTACATGGGCAAATTACATATGTCTTTTTTTTTTCCTAACCTTTGTTTGACTGAAAAGAAATAAAGTGAAAAGGAAAGAAATATGTGGAAGAAAAAAAAGTGAATGTGTTTGATTGAAGAAAAATGAGAGAAAAATAAAAAAAAAAATGTGAATCTCATTAATTATTTTCACACTTATTTTCATTCATCTTTTTCTATAATTTCATCCACCATATATTTCTTACGTATTTATTTTTCCCTTCCTACAAAATGAATCCTAAATGTTTAATTAAGACTTTGTTTCAATAAACTTTTTCATCGGTAAGTACTTGTATGAGAAAAAAAATAAAAAGATTATTACAAAATTAATTTTTTTTTCTTAAATTAAAATCAACTTTTCTACTTCAATTTTTATACAAGTTATAACTTCTTTTAAAAAAACTAAGCTCCATAAGATGATTTTTCATTTCAATAGAAATTTGTTTTTTCTAACTTTTTAATTTTCTTCCATATTTGTCGAGTTCAAGTTCAACCACTCATCAACGCACTGACATATTTAAAAGGAGTCTAAATTAGTTGATTGAATACGTGAGTTGTAATAAACTCATCACGCAACAATGATAGAGTTGGATTTTCATGGATTTAAAAGAAAAACATTGAAAAAAACTTGCACTAGCTATTCACTGTATTACTGCGGAACCTTTTGGGATTGCAACCAAAAACTTGAAAACGTTGATATGTTTGACCAGATGTTGCATGGTTAGTTCTCTTTAGAGCTGACTGTAATTGTTAAAATTGTGATACTAATACTAATACATATAGAAGATAAGTGTGGGTTGAAAGTGACTCATTCATATTCAACATGAGGGAGCGAGGGGGGAATCAAACATGACGTTGCTCCACAAAATTGAATATAATAAGATAGCTTTACTTTAATTGTGTAGTGGAAACTTTGCAATGACAATTTCGACGAGAAAGTGAGAAGGACCAAAAGCAGATAGAACTTTAAACAGTGGTCCCAATTGTGCATAGTGGGTTTTGTCTTAATCACGGTTCGTGGTCTTTAAAAGGGTGGCCATTTCATGCACTAGGTATAGCATAGCCTCATCATAGTCTTGGTGCCAAATAGCAACATTTACTAACAGTGTTAAAATGATGGAGAAATTATGTGGTGCCAGTTTTGGCAACATGTTGAATCAGGGAAAGCCTTATTTGTTAACAGTGGGGTTGCAATTTGGGATGGCTGGAACATTCATCATCACCAAGGCATGTCTTGATCATGGAATGAGTCGTTTTGTGTTAACTGTTTATCGCAATGTCATTGCTGCCGTTGGCCTTGCTCCTTTTGCACTTATCTTTGAAAGGTGTGCTACTTCTCAAGTTATTTATCTATATTCTCTTTACAAACAAATATAGTGAGGAGTAACCGAGCGGTTAGTACAGTGATTAAATATCTTGTTCTCATACGTTATAACGATGATTTATTTAGCATAGAACTTCATATTTGCGAAAAGTCCAAAACCCTTTGAAGACGGTGACAGTGAAAAACAAGATTAGTTTCTACTTCAGTGGACCATAGATATAACATGATCCAAAGGAAAAAAAACGTAGTGAGAAGTAACTTAAACTTTTCAGCATATAGTCCATGTCTGTCATAATTGTTAAATGCTATCTAATAACTCTGCTTTGAACTTTATTTAGTTAATTATCTTTTAATAATTTCTGCAGGAATAGACCGAAAATGACAATGCCTGTCTTCATGCAGATAGTGGCCCTTGGATTTCTTGAGTAATTATCTGAAACCTATCTATTGATTCTATTCAGTACTCATTTCCATGACGTGTAACATACTCGAGTATTTTAACACATGACTCCTAAATCTTTATAGATTAGTGCATACATACTAGAACAACTGAACAAATAATCCTTACTTTACTATGGAGTGCAATATTCACAGAATCCTGAATAAATATTAAACAAATTCCTCTCTATACTCGGATCAAACTTTTCATTTCAACAAAAAGATAGGTGCTATGGGTTAACTTATCAATAGTAAATCAATAATTACACCTGATTACAATTATTTATAAAAACAAAAAACCAATATCTCTAGCAATTGAGAAAAGTTTTGGTTTCCTTTAATAAATAAGGTCCCAGATTCAGTTCTCATAAATAGAAATATAATATAAAAGCTTTTAAAGCTTTTGTCCCACTTAATAAGTCTATTCAGTTCGACAGGATCAGATTAGCAGAACTTAATGTAACTAAACCAAGAATTAGGGTCTCATACTAAAAGTATAATAAAAATATACATTATTCCTCAAGTAAAAATTGTTTAATTCCAGCAGTTATGTTATGTAAGTTAGTTAAAATTATTCATATTTTTATCTACAATTACTACTTTATATTTTAATTGAAATTTCAAGAGAGTTCATTGACACCTAAAAGTTTAGGGTGGAATACTTTTTGATAGACAAAGGGAATTTCAACACTGAGGAAAACTGAACCGTAGCATAAGAAAATGTCACTGTCCAGCTTGATTAAGTGTGTGATATACAAAGTATTTACAGAACTAGCTAGAACAAGTGAAGCAAAAGACCCCACAAAATCAAGGAATCTATCTCATTTGGTTTTGTAAGATATATGTAAGTTATTGTAAACATCCTTAATACCCAGTTTGATTCTTTCAAATTTAAAAAGACCCCACGAAATAAAGGACCAATACAGCCCAATTATAAAGCCTACGTACATAATCGATTCCTTCAAAAGCATTTCGAGAAAAATGGAGCAAGAATTCCTCCATGTTATATAACACACCAGAAACAAAGTTTCATGTAGCAGGGTAAATTTAGGGTGGAAGGTTGAAAAAATCTAAAACGTACTACATGGAGTTAAGTATAACTTAACCTGAAGTAGTCCTTGAACAGGTATCTTTATAGGAAAAATAAAAGGAAAAAAAAATTAAAACTGAGATGTGTGGATTCTTATTATTCAAAATTTCAAATCCATAAATTAAGACAATGGAAAATTTTATATGTAATGTAGTCAAACTTATGGCAAGTTTTTTGCCCATTGACCGTGTCTTATTATTGTATACTATTTGGTTGAAATTGATTGTATCTCCTGGTATATACTTATAGGCCAGTGATTGACCAAACCTTCACTTGCTTGGGGATGCAATATACTTCGGCTTCATTTGCATCTGCTATTATGAACGCCGTACCTTCTGTAACCTTTGTCATAGCAGTAATCCTCAGGTGAGTTTTTTTTCTTCTGTTTTATAAAAAATAGAAAATTTTATTATGTTTCTTTATTTGTGTAAAGCAACTTTAAATGATTATTATAAAGGAATAAAAATAGTATCAAATAGGATTTAGTGTGTTTAAAATTTATTTTTGAGATATATATAAATTAATACTTTAATATATGAATCATCTTATTATTATTAATTTATTATTTTTCTTGAGCTCTCTTTTTCAATCACACGACATCACTGGCAGTTATATTTCTTTTTCTTTCCTCTGTCTTTTTTAACTTTAATTGTTAAATAGGACCGAAGTGTCCATAAATGATTTTCCTTTTGATCCTTTAGAACAGAAACCAAAACTTTGATTACTAACTAAAACAAAAAAAGCCTTAAAAACTAGTCCAAAGATCACATCACGCGCTTTTTCCTTCAGCTCTACTTTTTATTTTCTTAATATTATATTGATACTAGTGCTAAACCAAAGGGATACCCACTCGTTAATTTCTTGCAATCGTTTCGTAATATGTACAAGACCAAGCACTTGAACCTTAAGGAAAATGATTGTTGGTAATGGTAACATATATATAAACTGATCCAATGCAAAATTATGTTTACTACTACGTAGTTTGTGTTAATATTTCAGGTTAGAGCGTGTGAATTTGAAGGAGTTACGTAGTCAAGCGAAGGTAATTGGAACCTTGGTAACCTTTGCTGGTGCTTTGTTGATGACCCTTTACAAAGGCTCAGAAATAAACCTATTTAATCATCCAAACAGTACCCACCATGAAAGTCACTCTCAGCAGGGTCACAAAAACTGGGTCACTGGGACCCTATTTTTATGCCTTGGTTGTTTGGCTTGGTCCTCCTTCTACATTCTGCAGGTAAATTAATTAATTAATCATACAATTATTACATGATATTTATATATATATATATATATATACATCAAATTAATTAGGCATGGGAATGGTTAATTAATTAATTAATTAATATTGTTCTGTTTGTACATGAAATTAAATATGAATTAATGTGTAATTGTGCAGTCCATAACGGTGAAAAGGTACCCTG